TTGGTTGGGATAGCAGTAGAAGAAATTCACATCATATTTTGTGCGATAAAAAAAAAACAGCCAATATTAAATACGAAGGCAAAAAGTCTCTCCTGACAGAAAAAGTATGCGGTGTAAATACAAAAAGCAATTTTGTGAAAGTAGCACAAGAACATAAAGCAATGGATACACACCATCAATTATAATAGCTCCAGGTATCTGTACACGTTGACCATAAATGTGCATAAACGACAGATCAGGCGCCTGAGCAGGAAATACTCTGCAATTACATAATGCACTATTAATGGTCGTTGCGCATTTATAATGATCCGCCCCTAAACCTGTTCTCCTCTTCCCTTTCTATCCCAAGAATCAAGTGAGAGGTTCCATTATACAATAGTCAAAGACTCAAAATATAAGCATCAAGCCTCATAGTAATATAGTATCAATCATATGTCGGTGGATACACAAACAAGGCCAAAGCAACAATTAATTGCATAAATGCAATTTTTCTACAGGTAATACTAGTTGACAATATCATTTTTAAGCAATTACCCAGGCCAGGTTTTGAAAAGAAAAGGAGTGACGAAATAACGAAATAAAGAAAGAAAAATCAATAGCTCAACATATTCTTGATAAGAAGTAATGTTACTTGAAAAGATTGATATACAAATTGATGATTTGGATTATATTAATTGGTTTCTGTTTCTTTCTTTTTTCCTCTCTTTTTCTCTCTTCCACATCATCAATCTCATCAATTTATACATCAAACGATAAACAATAATGTACAAATAACATTACTCTATTCGTGATAATACACCATCATTTTTGAAATATAGCACAAATCAAAATCAGGAAATCATGATCATTACATACCATGCAATGGTTCTATCATGATCTTTACGAAAGTAATCAACAGCTAAATAAACTTATTACTCCTGTGAAATACAAAATATTGACAGTCCAATTAACCTTCTGCCACCTTCTTTGACACCATCATGAGTTCATGATCATCCACCCCATCACCCGAACCACCAAATAGTTGATACAGTTTCAAATTAACACTTGTTTGAATTCATACAGGTGCATCAAAAGATGATATGAATTACAACAGCAGTATTGCACACGGAGCATTGGGTCTAACGTAGACATTTAAAAAGTTATTAGGTATGCCACAACAGTCATTTTTTTTTTTTTTTAAAGTAATCAAATATTTTATTAATCAATGCATAATACACGGGAAGTGTATTATTAATTTAAATCAGAAAGTAACAACATAAAATTAAGCAGCTCATCTATATGCCTAGTAGCCACGGCATTAAATCAAGTATACAATATCAAATAAAACAATTCCCTAAATATTAAAACTTAAAATAATTGGCCACAGATGTTAAAACTACATAGTAGGAGATCCTAAATATTGTTAAGGGATAAAATCTTATATCGAATAAATATGAAAATATAGACCAATTTATAAAGGATTGGGCTACACCTCTTAATAAGATTGACCATTTAAGATAGAAACTCAAGTCTTAACATAGTATCAGAGCTTATTAATCTCTAATGTGCGATTCAATCTCATTAAGACTAAAAAAAATGAGCATGCGGATTTCAAAATTAATTTGCTCAAACGAACCACTATGGGCATATTAAGGGATAAAATCTCACGTTGAATAAAAATAAAAACATAAATCAATTTATAAGGATTTTGATTGTTTCTCTTAATAAGGTTGACATTTTAAGATAGAACATCGAGTTATATTAAAGGATAAATCCCGCGTCGAATAAAGATAAAAATATTGACCAATTTATACTACTACTTTTAAGATGGTTGACCTTTTAAGATGGAAAATAAAAACGCACGTCGAATAAAGATGAAAGTATAGACAATTTATAAGGTATTGGGTTATTCATCTTAATAAGGTTGACATTTTGAGATCAAACCCCAAGTCTTAACACATATAACTTAATCCTAGAGCAATGAGTTTCAATGGAGTTAGGTTCACTAAAATCTAAGATGGAATCGACATCATCCTTGATTAAGGCCAAATGCCATTATGTAGTTGTCGGTCATAATCGGTGAATTTCAAAGAGAGCAAGAATTGGACAAAAAAAAAAAAGATTTAAACAATCATGAGAATGGTAAGCGAGGATAGGCCAAATTAAATTAAGTGGAAAACATATTATCAAATACTCAATATCGTAACCACATAATTAGGCAATCCAAGTATATAAAATAGAATCCTAACATAATATTAAAACCTATACTTGTAACCAAACTTCTATAATCATATCAATTTCTTGCTAAAAAATGAAAACAAATCAATAAAACTTACTGTAGTGGAAAGCGCGAACGCAAGTGAGTTTCAGCAAAGAAAATGGAATCCCCAGGCTGCTCCTGGTTCTGTAAAAAATACATCCAAAGCTTGTTATCCGATACGATAAATTTCCATGATTTACAGACGGCTCTGAGCTTGGCCGACTCTTTGGGGCCAAGAATTTCGAGAATTAGAATGAAAATGTCAACAGGAATCCGATCAAATTCCCCGATTGATGAAATCTGAATATGCATCATCCGCTGGAAGCGATCGATTTGCGGGTTGGAATTGGACCTGGAACTCGAACCTGACCAGTGGGAAACGGAACCAAAGACCTTCCGAAGCAGCGTAGCCATTAATTTTCAGCGGTGTGTTAATTTTTTTTTTTTCCCAGTTCAGCACAGAATTTTGGGAATTTATTGGGCGGCATTTTGACTATAGTGTAATAAAAAATTAGAAGTTATTTAGAGATGACTTTTCAGAAAAAAACACGCCGGTTTTTGGCTTCCTTCTCTCCAACCTTATAGCGTTTTGGGGCCTTGAAAAAATAGACCCCTCTCGATCCATTAATATTGGGACCTGGAGGATGGGAAAGAAGACCAGACTCGATTAACTTAACCTTCTATCTGTTGCCGTGGAATGTATAGAACAGGGTTGGTATCGCTTTTTCAGAGGGAGCTTTAATTAATCGCTCTGTCGGGGCCCATTGGAGCCAAGCAAAGGCAAAGGAGGGTGAGATAGTGCTGAAAGTCAGAGCTCGAGCCATTACTATATCATAAGGTTTTATGTTTAGCCACACTTGGAACACTGCTGAAAAGAGTAATAAACTTAAAAGGAGGTGTTACACACACACACATATATATCCCATGTCAAAATTAACATTCATCACGTAAGTCTAACTTATTTTTTTATTCACCACAATAACCTTTTTCAAAATGTAAAAGACGAAGATATCATTAAAATGACACGGACGCCCAAGCCACCATTAGGACCTAGACGCCCGAACCATTGTTTGGACATCTGGGCTCGGACGCATGGTCATCTGGGTTTCCAGACAACCATGAGCATGGCAGAATTCGCCATTTTCGAAGAATTCTATCCCAAAAAATCACCAAAATCATCCCTAACATCGATTCTAACAATTTATCTATTTCAAATCATACATTAAAAGCATAAATTCATAGATTTTATCAAGATTGAATGTAATAATCAAATAACACGTTCGTAAAATTATAAAATTTAAACAATAAAAACTAAAAACTAACCTTAATTAAATGTGTAGAATATGATGGAGATGATGATTATGAATAGTGTTGAAGTTGATTTCTTCAGTAAGATTTTTTTTTCCCCATTTTTTTCTGAATTATTCCCTCATTTTTCCTTCATTTGAAATGGAAAGCATTTGAGAGCTTGGTTTTTTAATCTAGTCAAAGGTTATCGTAGAAATTGGGCTGGATCAACTCGTCATTGACTACCATTTCCTCTTAACTCCATCCACCTAGATCTTTGAAGAACGGTGACAATGTCCACAATTACAGAACCTACGGGCCCACGGACTTCATCGCGGCTCCTCCATATTTAACCAGACTATCGGAATTTCTGAATAAAGTGTAATGCTTCGAATAAAATCTTGACCGTTCTAACGCGGTACCACCTAACTCATCCAATTTTCGACAATCGATTATTAAGATAAATTGAGACGTAATTTTTTTCCCATTGCGATTCATGACAGGGACGAAGCTCTTGAATAGTAAAGATTTAAGTGGGGATAGGGTATGAAGATCAAGTGGGTGGAGCCGTGGAGGTAAGGGATGGGGGCAATTTTCGATTTTTTTTCTATTTTTAAGAAAATAAATTCGAACCATTAGATTGATTTATATTAAGGGATAAGTTTCTTTATCAAATTTATTTGTTAAAAAATTTTGCAGTAGGAACACTCCCCAATTTTGGAGGAAAGTAGCTTTTCAGTTCCTTTAGGACTTGCTTAAGAGTTTTTTTCATCGATTTTGAGTGGCACCATTTACGAGGGGTTGGAAGAACCTATATTTGTTAGTTTTTTTTGGTACCAATTTTGAATGGTTTAAAAATCACCGGAAAATGGTATAGTGTAATTTTGAGCGATTTATTACCGTTTCTTATGTTCTCTTTTGATTTTACCCTTCATAAAATAATTATTTCCAACCAATATATATTGTTCTAAAATAACTTATAAATAAAAATATATTAACTAAAAAATTATTTATAAACAAAAAATTAAATTATAATTAAAAAATCACTCATGGGTAAAATATTACTTATGAGATGAAAATTAATTTTGTTTAGGGAAAAATTCACTTTCCCTACTTTATCTTTACCTTATTTCAAAAATAACAAAACAACTTTTACATTTCAAAAATCAGATTTCTTGACCTATATATACACACATTTATAAATATTT